AGTGGTGAGTGGGGCAGGGGCACTGGGGCAGGGAACAGGGTGGTGAAATGGGTATGGGGGGTACCTTTAGCCTCTGGCAAGAAACCGTGGGCCATTTGGGAGAGGCCACGAAGGAGCTCCTTGCACAGGCCAGCCTCAACGACGATCTGGGCAGGGGGCGACTGAGCAGAGGTGCGGGGGGCAAAGTCAGGCAGTCGTGGCAACCAGCGCGAACTGGGGAAGTCAAACCAGAAGAGCTGGTCCTCGTCAAAGGTGTCGGCCCGACCCAAGCTCGGGGAATCTGGCTGGCAGAACAGCACCTGGGACAGCAGGTGGGGTGTCTCTGTCGGGAGGGGAAGGGGTCAGCGTCTGGTATGCATCCCGGAGCACCTGTCCTAGGAGCACATGTGTGGGTATGTGCATGTGTACGCCAGGCATGGCCACATGTGAACACATGCACACATGCAAGATGTGCACACACCAGTACTCACACTTGGCACATGCATAAATGAAAGCATGCATGCATGCACATGCACATGCACATGCACACACACATCAGGCATGTGCACACATGAGCATGCGCGCACACACACACACAGCAGGTTTGAACACATGCACATGCACACACTAGGCACATACATACGTGAACATGAATGCCAGGCACATGCAACACATGAATAAGCATTCATGCATGCCAGGTATATGCATATGTGAACACACACTAAATACTTGCGTATGTGAATATGCATGAACCTGGTGCATGCACATGTAAAGACACAAATATACACCAAGCATGTGCACAAATGAATATGTATCTCCCCAGGCATGTACACACACATACATACATACACACACACAGAGCAGACATGTGCATGTGCGTGCACATACGCACCAAGGCATGTGTACAGCAGGATTTTGTGTGCACAGACACATGCACACATACACGCATGAACCCAGGGGCAGGGGATTTGACTGGCAGAATACACATGTGGCATAGGAGTCAGGCCAAAGGGCACCCACCTGACACACGACACACACCCCCTACACATGCACTGTGCATGCACCCAGAGACAGACACACTTACCAGGCCCTTGCAGACACACACTTGGGCACACAATGCATGTGCCAGCCTGCTGTGCTAATATACACATCCCAAGTACACACGCACACACACAGGTACATACACGCAGTCCCTTTGCACACACAACGCTCCAGACTCACACACACAGTCCCTGCTCTACATACACACTGTGCTTCCTCTTCTACACACACTCTGTCTCTTTCTCTCTCTCTCTCACACACACAATCCCTGTGTACACAATCACACACAATCCCCAGTCCCACACATGCAATTCCTGCGCACACACACATACACAGTCCCCATGCACCCAGTCACACACACACAATCCCTGTTTACACAGTCGCACACAATCTCCATGCACCGTCACACATGCACACACAATCCCCTGGTATGCACCCAGCTGCCCTCTCTCTTTCACACACACACACACACACACACACCCTTCCCACAACCACACAACCATACACCACTTCAGTACATGCTGTCGCACCCAGCTCCTGTTCTCACCCTCACCCGTGACCTTTTTGCACACACACATGCAACCCCTTTGTACACACACACACAACCCCTTTGCACACATGCACATGACCTCTCTGCACATGCACGGTAACCCCTTTGCATGCCCTCTTAGCCCACACTGTCTCCCAGCCCCCGTGCACACCCCAGCCCCTAAATCGTGCACAGGTGACCCCCCCCCTTCTGCCCCCACACACCCTCCTACCCTCCCCCCCCGAGCCGCTGCCCCCCATAGCAGCACCATGGCCAGCAGCCCCCAGCCCCACATCCTCCTCCGGGGTCCCGATCCCGATCCCTGTGCTCTGGGGCCAGCCCAGCAGGCCAAGCCCTACTCTCTT